TATTTCGGTGTATATTATCGTCACCTTCCGACCAAAGGACCACAAGCGCCATGCAACAGCTCAAAATTTCCGCCTCCATTTTATTTTTTTAACGAGAAATTGTTCAACGAGGCTGTTCGAAAAAGTCACCGAATTTTCTTCATGCTGAACACTCAAAACAACAAAATTCAGTGACATTTTCAAATAGATTCAACGAACTCTTTCTCTGTAAAAAATTGAAATGGCGGCGGAAATTTTTGAACGACGCATGACGCTTGTGATACTTTGGCCGGGAGGTGACGATATTTTTGTACATTTTTGAAAATAACTTTCATTTTTCTAATCTTACAAGTAGGTTAAGTGGGATTCAATGAGACTTCGATTTGCGTTTCAGATCTTGTCTTATTTTATTGTATTTTTAAAGAATAGTGCCTAATGAATATGATGATTTGATACAGACCCAAGTTAGAGCGCATTTAAGAGTTACGATTTTGACGTTTAAGGCACAGACTCGAGACTCTCAGGGATAACAGAAAAAGGAATTATAAAAATTGTGCTACTGAACAAAATAATATTCTATCTTCTTTTTTTTAAGGAGAAAAACTCTATAAGTCGATAAGAAAATGGAAGTAAACATGTGAGGAAAGGAGTGGAAACATATTGATCGCTACATTTAATATAGTTTCAATCCACCGTGAGGATTTTTGTTTTATTACTGGTCTCAAAGGCGTTTTTAGCTGTTTCAAAGAGAGGTGGCAAAACTCCGAAGAATCCAATGTAAATCTTCCAGTACAAAACGGTCAGAATGAGACCTCCGGCAAAAACGAACTTCGACGCATTTTTGCCATTTTTGTATGCATTTGAAAAATCGCCATCGCGGACCCTTTTTTGTAGCCACCGACAATCAGGTTCGCCTATATAGAAATGAAAACAACCTGCGGGCCGATTATTGAAATTTATAGACAAAGCTATAGACAAAGAAGACGTAGGGAGTATGGAGCGATCCCATTGGTTGAAACTAGTGTTCTTTACAGACCAAGAGGAAAAGTGTTGAACTAACTGTCGGGTCTCTTGTCAGTTGCCGTTAGTTAGTCTATCACCTACCTCCTTTGTCCATTGCAACCACCCGCTTCCACCAATAGTATCCCTCCATATCCTTTTTTGTCTTCTTTGTCTATTGCTTTGTCTTTCAATTTCAATAATCGGCCCGCAGACCTAAACAAACAAAAAATCTTGCGAACTAGTATTTATGCATTGCGTATGCAGTTAATAGTTTTAAATTATTAGTTTTCTTATTTTGCAGATAATCAGGCAAAAGTAGATGCTTTAAATTGATCGAAATCAGTGGCATGGCGTAGGCGTACCTTGCGATGTATAGATTGATCTTCCATTTAAATCTATGGTAAAGGATCGATGAACAGGGTGCTCGCAAAGAACACCTTAATAATCAATTATTTACCATAGTTGTAAGTGGAAAAGTATCTGTAATCGATCATTCACGCTTCGCCGTTGATCGAAATCATCCTTGAGAAAAATCGGAAACAGTTGGTGATGTAGTTATAGGTCAGGTTTTCTTAAATCTTCTAGGCATGCGCATTTGCGCATTCGCCGGTGAGCAAGAAAGAAATGCCCGAAAATGCGACAGATCACGCAACTTGAGCGTTTTAGAGTTCATTTTATGTTCTTCAAGTTATCAAAGTCATGCGTTTGGATTGACGCCACTCATCGAGAAAGCCAATCACCGTCTTCGGTGGGATGTGACCTCGTTCATTTGACGGCCAGATTTGATCGTATGACACTAGCTGTACATCTGGTTACGATTACCAGCCGCACGATAACCATTGCTGGGGATCTAGCACTGGCCACTAAATTTCCTTGGAAACATATATAATCAGCCGGCTGATTGTTGAAATTGATGGACAAAGCTGTAGACAAGGAGGACATACGGAGTATGGAGCGATCCTCTTGGTTGAAATTAGTGGTTCCTACTGACTAATAAGGGAGTGGCATTTTCTCCATTGGCGAGGCGTGATTGATCGATTATCGATATTACCTCATTTGAAGCTATGGTAAAGGATCGATTATTGAGGTGTCCGTTGCGAACATTCTGTTTATCGATCCTGCGGGCCGATTATTGAAATTTATAGACAAAGCCATAGTCATAGGAGACATATGGAGTATAGAGCGATCCTATTGGTTAAAATGGGTGGTTCTTATAGACTGAGGGGGTAAACGATGGACTAACTACAGGGTCTCTCGTGGGTTGCCGTTAGTCAGTCCATTATCTACCTTCCTTGTCCATTGCAACCACCCGCTCCACCAGTAGGATCCCTCCGTGTCCCTTTTGTCTTATTTGTCTGTAGCTTTGCCCATCAATTTCAACAGTCAGCCCACAGGACTCCAGCAACCACCAAGACTCTTCTTTTTCCACGGGCGGCAAATTTGAAATTGTGTCCCAACCCCCCCCCCTCCCGCCCTTTAATTTCGTTCGGTTGCTCAGGGAGTAGGATACCTATGTCTTATTTATTTCGGTCACAAAAGGCCTAGCTACACACGGCGATTAATCGCCGCGAGTGAAGGACAAAAGCCAATGGAGAGCCATGATTTCGATCCATTGACGTCGATATATCGAAATCAAGGCTCTCTATTGGCTTTCGTCTTTCACTCGTGGCGATTAATCGTCGCGTGTATCTAGGCCTTAACCCCAGTCAGATTCAAATTTGAGGATTCTCAACATGTTTCAGATGAGAATGTAATAAAATCTAAGGAAGCAGGAGGAGAAAAAGAAAAAGGATAAGGATAAGGAAAAGAGAGAGAAAACATTAGAATAGGAATTATAAATGAGGGGGAAATGGTGAATGCAGAGGAGAAAGTAAAGGCAGCCGAGGAAGAAGAAGAAGAGGAAGAAGAAAAGGAAAAGGAAGAGAAAAAATTCATTTTTCTTCTTATTTTTCTTCCTCTTCCTTAACCTTTTCTACTTCCTCCCCTCCTCTTTCATCCTTTTCCCCTTCTCCTCAATCTTCTTTGACATCCTCCACTTCCTCCTTGTATTCTATTTCATCCTTTGTTCCTTTTTTGTCCCCATTTGGTATATACAAAGCGTCCTAGGCTAGAGCACTCATTGTTGCCCTACTGGCATCAAGACGGAACCACTTCGCAAGAAACTCTTTCGTCCTCATAACGCAATGGTTGGCCGGAGTCCAGCTATGGGTGGATAACATTTTTTACAATAAGGAACCACTATTTCTGGCCTGTTTTAGATACAACATACATAGATTTGTGCTTTTATGGGATAGCCAGAGATAAAGGTTCCTTATTGCAAAATATAATCCATGTAGTTAGGAGCTTTCATCAGCCAAGAGACGTTATGCGCTCATTCAGGACTCCCAAAATAGGTACGATCCCATTGCTGAATTCTATCCAAGTATAATAAATCTTGGGTCTCATGGACCCGAGCCGTTGAAGGCAGGGCTATTTTGAAGGGAAGCATCCACGGCTAGCGTTCCTTTCTAGAGAGAGTTAAGACAACGCGGCTGATGGATGTCACAAACGGGAATAAAGATTGCACAAATTGAACGGATTTCGTAATCTTTGATCAATTCATCCCCGAATTCCTATCTCTTTTCCCTCTCTCATTCCGCTTGTTCCTTGTCGTGCCGCTAATAAAGATGTTGTATGTGTGAGGAATTTGCGATTTGACTATTTATTCTTCTGTAAAAGCTCGCGAGAAACACGATGGTGCCACTAGTTTTCTCTGAGATCAACTCCCAAGCTCAAAAATAGCTCTCAAGGTGAGACCAAAATGGAGGGGATACCTACCCCACGCTATCCTGAGAGTCCACCTCTACATCAAGAAAAGCTCTCCATGCAAAGATAGGGAGCAAATACATTAGCAGGGTTGCCGTGTTTTCAGTTGTGGAGTCCCAAATAAAGTGGTAGCCCTGCCAATGTATTCGCTCCCTATCTTTGCATGGAGAGTTTGTCTTGATGTAGAAGTGGACTCTCAGGATAGCGTGTAATATCCCCTCCATTTTGGCCTCAACTTGAGAGCTTTTTTTGAGCTTGGGAGTTGATTTCAGAGAAAACTAGTGGCACCATCGTGTTTCTCGCGAACTTTTACGTAAGAATCATCAGTCAAATCGCAAATTCCTCACACATGCAACATCTCCATTCCTCGGTCCACTCCAGATTATAATCTTTGCAATCGGTGAAAGTGTAATCTTTATGCCCGTTTGTGACACTGTGGAGGCCTGAAATACGGAAACCAATCGGAAATGGATTCACATTGTCTTAACTCTCAGTTTAAAGGGACTCTAGTCGAAGCCAGGGCTATAACGGGAGGGATCAGAGACAAGAGACCCTCCACTCGTATCTCAGATATTGTGAAAGCTTTTACTTTCGGGACTTCAACAATTAACTGTTGACTTACCTACATGGTTGATGTTTAACAACGTGTTGGCAGTTTTGTTTTGCAAACAAGCCGATTATGGCCGAAGTTTGGGAAACATGTTTGGCTCATGACGTCAGCCAAAGCTCATCATCAACCATGTAGGTAGGTCAACAGCGAAAAAAAAAGTGATCACTGTTGATCCCTTATACGTATCCGTAAGGAAGTGTTGAATCCTCGAAAGTAAAAGCTTTCACCTGTCGCCAAGAGGCCAATGAAGGGTCTCTTGTCTTTGGGAGGGATCCACGGACGGCTCGGTAGTAATATGTTGTGATTTCTGTTGTGCCCTCAGGGAAGTTTCGGCGGGAGTACAAGCGGGCCTTTTTGAAATGCGTCACTTGCGGCGAAGCGGGCGGCGGGCCGGGCGGGGACTGCCGCTTCTCGGCCAACGACACCATCCACCTGGACCGGCGGCTGGCCGCCTACGCCAACGGGCCCCACGGCCGGGACGCCCGCCGGGAGGAGCTCCTCGTCAAGAAGCGCCGGGCCGCCTCCCTCACCGCCCGCAGGAACAACTTCAAGCACTCGAAACGGATCAACAAGCTCAACAACTCCGTAGACTCGAACATTTGACTAGGCATCCCGCCCCTTGTCCCTTCCTCACGCCGCACACCCGATCTCCCCCGAAGCCTCTGCATGTCCCTTTGTCGTCTACTTGCGTTTGTTCTGCGCCAAAACCCTACGGATTTCATTCAGAAATGTCTTCGCATGTGCATTTCCCCCTATTTCCTGTCCATTGGCGCCTAAACCTTGTTGCATACCTTTGCATGTGCGTTGCTCATGTATTTTCATTCCTTCTGCGCCAAAACCCTACGGATTTCATTCAGAACTCCGAGGAATGTCTTCGCATGTGCATTTCCCGCCTATTTCCTGTCCGTTGGCGCCAAAATCTTGTTGCATACTTTTGCATGTGCGTTGCTCATCTATTTTCATTCCTTCTGCGCCAAAACCCTACGGATTTCATTCAGAACTCCAAGGAATGTCTTCGCATGTGCGTTTCCCGCCTATTTCCTGTCCATTGCCGCCAAAATCTTGTTGCATACCTTTGCATGTGCATTTTCCGCCTATTTTCTTTCACTTGGCGCCAAAATCCTGCGTGTCTTCGTCTCAAACTTATTTCTAGCATATTTCCGGTCTTCTGGCGCCAAAATCTTGTTGCATACCTCTGCATGTGCATTTCCCGCATACTTCCTTTCACTTGGCGCCAAAATCCTCCGTGTCTTCGTCTCAAACTTATTTCTAGCATATTTCCAGTCTTCTGGCACCAAAATCCTACGGATTTCGCCCAAAATTTTGCTGCATACCTTTGCATGTGCGTTGCTCATCTATTTTCATTCCTTCTGCGCCAAAATCCTAAGGGTTTCATCGAAAGTTCCGAGGAATGTCTTGGCATGTGCATTTCCCGCCTATTTCCTTTCACGTGGCGGCAAAATCCTGCGTGTTCTTGTCTCAAACTTGTTTCTAGCATATGTCCAGTCTTTTGGCGCCGAAATCCTACGGAATTTGTCCAAAATCTTATTGCATACCTTTGCATGTGCGTTTCTCATCTATTAGCATTCCCTCTGCGTCAATTTCCTACGCATTTCCGCCGAAGACTTGTTCCTCACATGTTTTCATTCAGTTGGCAACAAAATCTCATGGAATACACCTTGATACGTGCTTTTTGCTTTCCTTCGTTCACTTGCTTTCAAAATCTCTTTAGTTCCCGCCAAATATTTTTTGAATACGCCCACTTGTGTTTTGTCCGTTTATTTCCATTCTCTTGGCGCCAAAATCCTACAAAATGCTGGCAGACACTCGCTTTCCGCTGTGTCCGATTCACCTGGCGCCAAAATCCAATAAATTATCCTTGCAACCTCATGAAATGCTTCTTGATACGTGTTTTCCACCTTTTCCGTGTAATTGCAATTGTTCTGCGCCACAGTTCCACAGCTTTCCACCATTCATGCGTTAAACATCTATTTCTGTCACGCTATTGGTGCCAAAATGAGCAGCACCTCAGCCAATCAGGCGTTTGCTGGCAAATCTGGCGAAAATGCCATCAGGTATCATACGATCCTACTAAAATTTTAGATGATCCCATTCCATTACTGATGAACTACCGACTATTAGTCGTATTTTAGTACCCACATCTTGGCATTTGACTCGCACTTGTTTCAGTTCGCTTCGTCAAATTAAACGGATTTCTGCCAACATGCATTATCCGCCCTTTTTTCATTTTTTTGCTAAGAGATGCACTCCTACACCTCTTATCGGCTGACCTGATTGGATCACCTCTGAGATTTCTAATACTCCGATGAAATTTTGGGAGACTTTGATGAACGGTAGATTCCCAGGTGACCATCTGTCAACCTCCACACCCAATTTCAACATCTGGATTTCGACTCACATTCTGAAACTGTGAGCATCTATGCAGAAATTTCAGAAAGCTGATCATTCGCATTAACCACGCTCTCTTATTTCTATGCATGTGTCCCGTTTTCTATAAGAAAAAAGAGAAGTTTCAAGTCACTGCAAGTCTGTGGAGCTCTTAAATCCAGCTCACCTAAAAATGCAACATGCTCATGGTTTTTAATGCAGCTGGGGAAAAGATGTTAGTGAATAGATGAGCTTGCACACTACTTTACATAATGTAACATTGCCCAGTATTACAGAGGGTGACGAAGTTCTCAATGTAATAACTTGTTAATGACTCAAGCGACGATAAACCACCTGTAAAAGACATTGGTTTTACACAACTCGACTAATGTATTAATTTTGTACTTAAGAAACAACTCTCTACGCTACTGGAACACATTCTATCAGAGCGATTGAATTTTTTCATATTTCTTGATGCGATTTGGTGATAAGTCGTGAGTAGCAACACTTTTGGAAACCCGTCCCTTTAATTCTCATTATAGGTGTCGCTCTGATCAAAATTTGTGCATTTCTGCTTCTTATCAAGAACCTATCTACAAATTATCCACACATCATTGATGACGTTATAGTTATTGACGATTAACGAATTTAATTATTCGTTATCAGAATGCCTTTGTCTTTCACGCCACGTATCCAGTTGTGCAGTTATCCAAACCTTGCTTTCGTGTCTCCGTAAATTTCTCTTGATTGACTTCTCCAGCTTTCAGTCAGTCTTTCCGACGACTGCTCGAAAAAAATAGCTTCTATAATCTCCTTACCATGTCCTCATCTCTCACGCTTAGAATACCTCCTCTAGAAATAAACCAAATAAACCTCCAAAATACCATATTTTCTCCAATTTTTTCCTGCATCTTTTCTTTCATTCCCATGCAAAGCTTTGAGCACTTTTTCAGCGCGATTTGTATGTTTTAAGTGTGAAATTACTACACTTGCATTGACATCACTTCACTCTTTTCGGCACAGTATTTTGTTTTTTTAAAAAATAAATTGAACTCCTTCATTCTTCCTGTCTCTCTTTGGCTGCGTTTCGCACTATTACCCTTGAGAATACTTTAAGTCATAAAACTGGCTACCTTATTTCCACCCTACGAGTACACTCAAGACTTCAAAGATCAAAATTGCTCTGAGGTCGAGGCAATTTTGTTGAATCAATAAATGTCAGCTTGGCATCACTTTTCGAGTGCTTTGAAGAGTGTGGTTTCAGTTGGGAGGTGGTCCGTTCAGCTTCAAAGTAAAAACTATCATTCCATTGAAGGTAAAGTAACTTTATTTACATTCAAGAAACGTCTTTAGTCGATTTAAATTTGTTTTTTCTGATCAAAGCGGTTGTCAGAGAGAGTACCGTAGTTCAATGAAAGATTTTTGTTGCAGTGACCTTGCAAGTTCATCGCACGTGCAATCGCCACAACTTTAGTTTCTTTGATTAAAAATAAATACAGAAGTATCCTTTTTTCACAAGAAGTTTGCAAATTCACCCGGTAGCAATGACCTCTAAAATGCACTCCTCAAAAACTAAAAAAAAAAAAAAAAATACAGTTAAAGTTTTTTGTACCTCTCTGGATTTTTTAAGTATTTTAGTCAAGAAACCCTGGTAAAAATTGGCAGTAGAATCTGTGTTCCAAAATACCATAGACCTACGGCCGGCTGTAAGATTTCCAATAGCTTCTATAGCCGGCTAAACAATTTCTTATAGCCTTTTATAACCGATGGCGATTAAGCAACTCACAGTCAGGCGATAAAGTGTATGCTAAACGTCACTAATTACGGATGCTAGAACTTAGTGAGTTTTTGGACCACTGCTCTCTTCTTGGGCCGTAGTATCTTGATTTATTTTGCGAGGAAAGCTCCGTATTTTTGATGGATGCCTGCCATTCCTAATATATTAAAGCGCCTTCAGTTTCGTATGATGCTGTGCAATACCTCTGGTATGAAATAGTTGCTTCAAGCGCCGTGGCACGCTGCGGTGCGGCAGGCGGGCAGCCAGCGCGAGACGCGCATTGGCGCCTACAAACCTAACAGGGATACTTCACGCGTTGCGCAATGCGTGAAGTATCCCCGTTAGGTTTGGAGGCGTCGGTGCGTCGCCGCTCCGCTTTGTGTTAGGCTCTAATATTTAATCTGGCGGAGTCAGCGTTATTGAACTCATGATTTTGAAATGTTTGCACATCCTGTATGGATTATTCTCGTTTCCATTGATGAAAAAAAAATATGTATTAAAGGGAAATATAACGCGTGTTTTGTAAATATTAAGGTGGTTCCGTACCAAACTTAATGATTTCCAAAGCACACGAATTTCTACACAATTTCTTATAGCCTTTTATAATCAATGGCGAAAAAGCAACAGCCAGGCGATAAATTCTAAAGCCCGGCTATAGGAACTACATATAGCCCGGCTGCATAATTTTTTATCACTTCGTATAGCCCGGCCGTATGATTTTCTCCGCATTCTACAGCCAGCTATATGATTTTCTGTAGCCTTCTTTAGCCGGCTATAAGAATTCCTATAGTATTTGGAAACGCAGCTCTTATTGCCAATTTTTACCAGGAAAAATAACGTGAAAAAGTCTAGAAAAAATATTAATTTTAAAAAGTTGTTTGCAACATGGTTTTCCAAACATTTTAAGTATCAAAAAAACTACAGTGTATCTATTAAGTGTTTTTAACATTTACCACTGTACCAAATGTTTCCTCTTGTACATTTCACCAAAAAATAAACTCCCAAAAAAGATCTTCTGAAACACAAATTTTAACAGTGTTTCTCAAAAGTTGTCTTCTAAAAGTTTTTTTTTCAGCTGCTGTTGTCATTCTATACACAAAGGTGACGGTACCAATTTACGCGTGTCAGACCTTTTATTGAAACTTAACGTTGTTGTGAATGACTAACTTACAAACAAATCGTCCGATTTAATCATGAAAAATTTGAAAGCTATGGCAACGTAGTCGCTCCGTAATAGGACCCCGCTAAACGCCTCATCGTAACAGTTTTACTTTTTTCCAGACTTGTCATGCTTAGCCTCATTTTAGGAACGATTTATGTTCTATTTGTACTTGGGAGCTAGTGCAGGACGTGCTCGAATCCAATTCGAGTCGGACTTTAAGTGAATCACATTGCTCCAAATTGAATAACTTCACGGAAACTCTTTATCTCTGTTTCACAGTACGACCCTTGACGATAGTTTCAGGAGTAGGAGCAGTACATATCTTGCCTCTTGAATAAACGTTAAAATGACTCTCTATTTCAGCCCTTTGTGGTGGCTTTGTGTGGTATTTAATTAGAACATCCTAATTTTTTCAATGAAAGGAGGAAAAAAATATTTAATTGAGCTATAAATTAGACTAATTTTCGCAATGCATAACTAGTATTACATACTAATCTTAACAACAGCTGGAAAAACAGCATGAGTTCTATAAATGTTCCTGCGGCGACAAGTGCTTTTCTTCTTCTCCCCCTTCTTCCTTTCCTTGATTCTCTCCATTTTAATTTTCCTCGTTTTCCTGTTTTCCCCCACTTCATTGTCCTCTTTTCTACTATGATTTTCTTTCCTCTTTTTCTCTGTTTAATCTCTTTCATTGTATTTCCTTTTTTCTTTCTCCTCTTATTCTCCTCGGTTTTTTCCTTTTCTATTTCATTTTTGCATTTTTCCTTCACTTTCTCTACTCTCCTGAATTGTCTCCTTCTCTCTCCGCCTTTCTCTTTTTATTTTTCTCGTTCCTGTTTTTGCTTATTTTCCTACTGTCTCCCCCTCTTCTTGATATTCTGCTTCCTCTTATTGTTCCTCGTTTTCCTATTTCCCCCTCTTCGTTGTCTCCTTTTTCCCTATGATTGTCTTTCTCATTTTTCTCTTATTCAACTCCTTTCTCGTATTCCCCGTTTTCTTTTTCCACCTAGCGTTTCCTTCGATTTTTCCCTTCTCTTTTTTCATTTCTGCATTTTTCTCCTATTTTTTCTTCTCTTCTGAATTTTTCTCCTATTTTTTCTTCTCCTCTGAATTTTTCTCCTCGCTCTCTCCGGCTTTCTCTTATTCTTTCTTCTTATTCCTGCTTTCTGTTTGTTTTTCTACTATTTCTTCTCCTGTACGCTGGAAAAAAAAACACATTGGATCTAGAGTCCAGACTCTTGAAAACATTGACAAGAAAAAATACTCTTGATTCTATCGGATTTTTGCTTGCATCAGAACGAAATCCGCTTAAATTAAGAGGCTTGGTTCTTGATTTAAGCTAGATTCTGATTGAATCAAGAGTACTTTTTCTTGTCGATGTTTTTAAGAGTCTGAACTCTAGATCCAATGTTTTTTTTTTTCCAGTGTATCTTCTTCTCTCTCTCTCTCTTTATGTCTTTTCCTCTTCTTTCCCCTCTGTGTTCCTCTCCCTCTTTGCTTATCCCATGCAGGTAGGTGCTTAAATGCGCGCTTTTGAAAGCGTGTGATAAAAACTGAGGCAATTCAACGTTTCCGAAATAGAGTCTTGGCGCCAAGTGTGAGAAAGGACGGAAAGTGCCTACGCAGGGGTGAACAAATCATGACGGATCCGACGATGTCCCAGCTGGAAAGTTGCCATTTCAATGACATTCAATTTTATCCCTCCTTCGCCTGAAATATACTGCTTGTTATCAGAGTCATGTAGAGCGAATTACTTTCAGAACGACAGTTTCATGGTCCTTTCAGTTAATAGAGTGGACAAAATGAGCTCTCACTTGTCGGAGTGTTATCCCTCCGGCATTATGTTTTTTTGTGCAGTCGTGTCCGTAACGCAACATTGCGAATCACATTAAAATATGATTCGCCTTCATTGGACAAGGTAGGCAAAACGGGCTACCAGACGTTGAAATGGTTGTATCACGCACGTATTACATCCTTGGAGCATAGTGGTTTGGTAATGCAATATTGCGAGTTACAAAAACACGGTTCGCTTTCATTGAACAAGTTAGGCAAAATGAGTTCTCACAAGTTGACGTGGTATTGTCATCAACACATTGCGTTTTTATTGTACGCAGGGTGAAACCCAAAGTAAAAATATGTTTGACCCAGATTATCCATTATCTGGGGGCTTGGTTAAAAACTGAGCTTCGGGTGACGTATTGAGCCACACACGTTCGTCAAACTTCGTTATGTTTGAGATACGAAGTACCCAACACGTTTTTAAACATCCAGCGATGGGGCTCTTGCACGTGTAAGGAATTTGCGATTCAGCCAAATGACAGAGATCGCCATAAGTCGCAAAAAAACGTCAAATTATCGCGATTTCGGAGCACGTTGTGCAAATTGCCTATCCGCCCATTTGAAGGCGCGTAAATTTTCGCTAAATCCCGTTTTAATGTCGCAACAAATCGGAGTACTGATTCTTGACTAAAATTTCGCGAGAAACACGATGGACGATGGCGCCACTGATTTTCTCTTAAACCAACTTAAAATCTCAAAAAAGCCGTAATGGAGGAAATATCCCACGCTATCCTGAGAATCCACCTATATGTATATGTCGCAGGCAATTGGCAATCGCCGGCAAATCACAAGCCAGTGGTGAATAAATATAGAAAATCATAAAATTCAAAAATAAAAGAACAAGATTAGAGTGCTGATTATGTTTCCTATAGTGTGAATAGACATGTTTCGATCCTTAAAAACATGGCAGAAATATGCACACTCAGGAGAGCGTGCAGTGACATTAGTTGGGTTGAGGTCGGACAGGCAACTAAACTAACATCGTGACAAAGCGTAGAGTATCAAAAAAAAGGAAGGCGCTTCAAGCCGAGCTCATACTTTTGAAGACCATAACCCTAAAAATTGCATTATGCCGATGCGCATTATTGCGATTTATCGAAACAACGTGTGAACCGCTTGCAAGTTGCCGGCGATTGCTAATTGCCTGCGACATATATAAGTCAACACTTGGTTGTCAGAGTCCCGAAAGTAAAAGTTTAAACCGTCACCAAGATGGCAATGCTGTCATACCAAGGAGAACGCCGTTTGAGCCTTCAGACGTCGCCATATTTCTTTTAATAAATAACGAATTTATTGGGGAAATCGCGAATGTTTTTCCTCAAATTTTTCGGACAATTTGTTTCGCAATTTAATTTTAAATATCTGAAAAATAGGTTAGTTGCGCTGGTCATAGAATCGTGTTTTGGTGCTTAATTAGATTATCTAAAAATACATAGGGTGTTCAAAAAGTTTTGCACACTTCCGGATTTTGAGCAAACAAAAGCAGCTATTGATTTGTGGTTTATGAGTGCTTAAAGTAAACGTAATTACCAATAAAAAAAGACCAAGAAGAACTCTCTACCTTAAAAAATTACTGAGATACAGGGTTTTGAAAATGGCATGTAGCGTGACCGCCTCAAGGATTTTTAGCTACCAATAATGTACAAAACACACATTGTATTTTCCTCTAATGCACATTTCTTTTTCATCAATTTAAATGAGGATAATCCATGCAAAGCGTGAAAAGATTTCAAGATCATGAGTTGAAAAACGCTGACTCAGTTCGAATATTAGAGCCTAACTCAGATCAGAGCAGCGTGCTGCCAGCGCTAAACGCACTGGCGCCTGCAAACCTAAGGGGAAACTTCACGCATTGCGTAATGCTTGAAGTATCCACTTAGGTTTGTAGGGGCTAATGCGCCGCCACGCCGCGGCGGCGTGCCTCAGCGGCTCAAGCAACTATTTTATAAAAACTCACCAAGTCCTAGCATCCACATTTCATTACATTTAGCATGATTATTGAATTTCAGCTTGTTTCCCTCTGTATTGAGAATTTCAGCTTTATGCTGAATTGAATCAGTGAGTTCGAAAACACACCAACTCGGAAAAAAAAAATGTTCAGGAAACACCTAAAACTGCGCAGCGGGCCAAGAAATTAGTTTAAGAAAAACCTTTTTGGTGTCAAAGGACAAGTAATTAGAGACTTTGTAAAGCACCAAGTTGAAATCGATACACCATGTTTGATGACAGAGAATTAAGCGTTTAAAAATTTCCGAGTTGGTGTGTTTTCGTTCTCACCGACTTTCAGATACTGATTTTTCATAGTCTGCCCAGAAAAATTGATATTTTTCGACCTGAATAACGCTTGAATATTTATATAACTTGTTGGTACAAGGAAAACTGAACCGAAAAAAGAAAACCGCAAAATCGGATGGTCACCCGTTTCCCTTGAAGTGGCCAAAAATTGGTATTTCCAATGAAATACATCGATTTTTCCCTTTTCCCGTCGCTGTTTCGAGCACTTTGGATTGCGATTACGTTTCCTTTTGCGTGCAGATGCTTTTATCCATAAGTGTTACTAAACCGTAAAAAAGTGAAAATCGAAAAAAACCCGAGTTGGTGTGTTTTCGAACTCACTGATTCAATTACAGGTTTCAGGAAAAGAAACCGTATGTTGAAGTTATTTTATTTTTTTTCTTTTTTAGCCAACATGCAAAATTCAGCATAAAAAATTCAGCATAAAGCTGAAAATCTCAATACAAAGGGAAACAAGCTGAAATTCAATAATCATGCTAAATATTATGAAATTTGGATGTTAGGACTTGGTGAATTTTTTAAAATAGTTGCTTGAGACGCCGAGACATGCCGCGGCGTGGCCGGCGCATTCGCGCCTACAAACCTAAGTGGATACTTTAAGCATTACGCAATGCGTGAAGTATCCCCTTAGGTCTGTAGGCGTCCGTGCGCCCGTGCGTTTAGCGCTGGCAGCACGCTGCTCTGATCTGTGTTAGGCTCTAATATTTAAACTGAGTCAGCGTTTTTCAACTCATGATTTTGAAATGTGTTCTCGCTCTGCATGGATTATCCTCATTCAAATTGATGAAAAAAAATGTGCATCAAAGGAAAATACAATGTGTGTTTTGTAGATACAGTTTTGAAATTTCCTTTTGCGTGCAGATGCTTCTATCCATAAAAGTTACTAAACCGTAAAAAAGCGAAAACCGAAAAAAACCCGAGTTGGTGTGTTTCCGAACTCACTGATTCAATTGAGGGGCTCTCTTTGTTTCTGATCTAACTGAACTGTTCGTACAATAAATAGCCATGGAGCTAATGCGGATTTCGATGTGGTTCCAGGGAAGTTCCAGAAGGAGTTCCAGCGGACGTTCCGGTAACGTTCCGGGACGCATTAGCGCCTACAAACCTAAGTAGATACTTCAAGCATTACGCAACGCGTGAAGTATCCCCCTAGGTTTGTAGGCGCTACTTTGTTTAGCGTTTCCTGAACAAATTTCTTTTCCGAGTTGGTGTGTTTTCGAACTCACTGATTCAATTGAGGAGCTCTCTTTGTTTCTGATCTAACTGAACTGTTCGTACAACAAAGGGCCATGGAGCTAACGCGGATTTCGATGTGGTTCCAGGGAAGTTCCAGCGGACGTTCCGGTAACGTTCCGGGACGCATTAGCGCCTACAAACCTAAGTAGATACTTCAAGCATTACGCAACGCGTGAAGTATCCCCTTAGGTTTGTAGGCGCTACTTTGATTAGCGCTTCCTGAACAATTTTTTTTTCCGAGTTGGTGTGTTGTGTTTTCGAACTCACTGATTCAATTGAGGGGCTCTATTTGTTTCTGATCTAACTGACTGTTCGTACAACAAATGGCCATGGAGCTAACGCGGATTTCGATGTGGTTCCAGGGAAGTTCCAGAAGGAGTTCCAGCGGACGTTCCGGTGCTGGCGGCGGCTGCGTGGCGGGATTACTCGAGGGCGGGGCCGCTTAGGGCGCGGGGTCCTGCGGGGTCAGCACAGCCGGAGCAGCACCTATGCGTGCCGCTTCACCACCAACAACAGCAACAGCCACAGCCACACCGCCCTCAGCTCCTACTCCATGCGCACCGAGGTCATGCCGCTCAGCGTCACCCAGGTCGACTGACGCACCCGCAACCAATCACACGCTCGTCCGACGAGGTAAACGATATTTCTCTCTCTCTCTCTCTCTCTCTCTCTCTCCCTCTCTCCCTCTCTCTCTCTCCCTCTCTCCCCTGACGGAGTTCGAATCATTGTCGGGACTTCAACTACGTACCATCATTGTCGGGACTTCGGAGTTAACAACGGTTACGGGTAGCCCCGGGTTGGCATCTACGGGGAGTGTTGTCCGTTTTTCGACTCTCTCCAGAAAAGTTGTACTTTCTCGCATGAAACACTATCGGGACCGTCCCGATACTGATAGAAATAAGACGATGTCCCGACTTTGGCGGTCCCAAGACGACAAAAATTTCTCTCTTTTCCATACACCGCTGCCAAGCCGATTACCTGTCACTGCTTCGAGGTCACCCATTGCAAAGGCGTCCGAACTCAATCCCCTAATTTGTCACGCCTTTTTCGCACGCTGTCCTTTCTCCTTTTAGATTTTCCGATCTCTTTATAAAACCGGAATTGCCCACTCATCCGGGAACTACTTATTTTCGTCCCATCTTGTA